CTCACCTTTAGGTCATTCACTAATACAACCCTGCATGTATCTCCAAGCCACAGATCTAACCTGACTAGATCTGAAGCTGAACAATCACATTTCAGTGGATGCCCAACAGCAAAACAGGTGAAGCCATGTGAGTTAATGCCATCTAAGCTGCAAGCCTTAAGAATTTTCAGTTCACAACTATTCTACTTTTGAACGATGTAATAAGTATCAGCATTCAAATATATAAAACTATGTAAGAATCAGTACACATCCATAAACTAACATCAGGAAAGCATCAGAGGTCTACTATATAAACTGTGAATCACCACAGGATCACAGGGGAATACAGAGCATCATATTGAATGATCACTTATTCAACTTAGAGCTGCATCTTCTTTCTGTTCTCCAAGAAACAGTGGGGACATCAGTACTAAGCTATATTCAAATCTCATCCCCCAGCAGCTAAGTAGACCCTCACAAGTATGAGGCTGAAGCATTGAGAAAGTGGTACACAAGAACTGGAACCATTCCAAAACCAAAATAGGATCAATTTCTGAAGATTCAGAAATCAGACCAGCCTTCCTCTTCTGCAATAAAAGGAGAAGTTTTTCTGAATTTCTGCCCCAAGAAAACATGCAGCTGTGAACCCTCTGCTGCTATTCACTTGTCCTTTGAACTTTATCAGAGAAGGCAAAGTCTTCTTCCCACAAATTCATTTCTTCCCCACTGTGATGAAAGGTTTGCAGTGGAAATCCAATGCTTCAGAAGAGTAGAATACCTTGTGCTTAGAGCCTAGTAAGCCTTTAAATAACATTGTACCCTTATCCACACTTCCAACACATGCCATTTCTGCATGTTCTTCCTCAGTCACACAGTACAGGCCAAGCAGCTTTACAGTTGTAGAGAAAGCTGCACCTGGTAGTGAACTTTTGAGCAGCTGCAGTGTGTCAATTGCATACAAGAGCAGTTGCCACTTAAGCCATGGAGCAAGGCATTTGTTGAACTGGACATTTGATCCTTCAGTAGGACACTACAGGGAGTCATCATTAGGGGAAATGCACTAATCAGACCTGGCGGGCTTCCAGCTTCTCCCACCCATGAACAACTGCAGCATTTTTGAGTCTTTTCCCTTTGCACACCACAGGTGGGCTCAAGGACAGGGCATCAGAGTTAGCAATCTGGAACTCATTAGCAGGAGGACTACACCAAGACCCTAACATCATATGTCTCCGATTTCAACAGAAAGTTGAGACAGGGCATCTCACTGTCGTGTTCAAGGGTACCCAAGGTTATCTCTTCTGTTACCCCTGTTCTTTGCTAGCAGACTCTTTTCCCACTCTGACACTGGCACTTCCCTTACAGCTCAACTCTGTAACATAACAGTGCTTCCAGGAGAACTCCACAGCTACTTCAGCTGTTAGCCAGCACCACTCCTTTCTCACCAGCTGCCCTGTCCTGGCAGGGAGGCAGAATTGTCACTTCAGACTCTCCTTAGCAGTGCAAGTTTTAGTGCTGATACTCATCTCCATAGCAGGCAGCCAGAGACCAGTTTGTTTTGGCTCAAGAGACTCGACAAACATAGGAACTGGAGGAGTGCAGCTGTCCAAGGGCAAACATTTGCTTTGAAGAAACGCTAATGAAGCCAGTGTTACAGGTGGGTGCAGCATGTAGCTGGATAATCACTTCAACCTGACCAGAGAGATCAGCCTCCTCTACAGTCACACCAGCTGTAGCCTGAAAGATTAAGCAAGGGACCACCCAAGTAGAGTGGGAGAGGTCAATCAGACTGAAAGACAGGGAACAAGATTACCATTACAATGCTAATTAGCATACCTGCATCAGGAGAGGAGGGACTGCTTAAAACACTTCAAACTAAGGACTAGACAGCACTCAGGGGAAGTGAAAACATCACTTAGGACATATACATCTGTCTGTCAGATCTGGTCCTCAAGTAATAAAATGCAGCAACACTACACCACTATTTGAAAAACCAAGTAGAGAAATCCAGGGCTGCAGCTTAAACAGCTGTCAAATTATGATACATCTGTGAAGGTGACTGAACACAGAAGTCTTCTTCAACCAGGGCAGGACACAGCTGTTTTTGATAAGGCACTCTTAAAAGCAGTGAACAGGACAGATATTATTTAGTCCCTGAATGAGACAGCATTTCCCAACAGCCAGTTCTACCAAACACAACCCAGGATGGTGTTTGCAGGAGACAGTGGTCCTGGATAGGCTCCATTAGTTTGTTTAGAGACCAGCTGGCTTAAAAACAGTGACATCAGAGTCTTACTACAGATTACAAATTCACAGTAAGACAGCAGACTGTCATAGCTCTTCCATTTTCCTTTGTCTTCATGTAGCTCAGGTGGTGAATCTGGCAGACAGGAATTGCAAAGCCTGAGCAAGCTTTAACACTGGATCTAAAATTCCTCTCACTTCATCCCTTTGAAGTCCCACCTTCAAAGAGCTTCTTCCTCAGCCTCCTACATTCTTCAAACAAGTCAAAGAAATGTGGGGAAATTCCCTCAGCAAAACAAACGGGCTGTATCTACACACTTTAAGTAAATACAAGCTGATAAGATTTTTGCCTTGGGGGAAATTTAAGATTCCACCATAAAAAGCTATAGGAAGGTTTTGACTAGTCAGCTATCCACCTTACAAAGGAAGACTGACCAGTATGTCAGAAATAATAAAAATACTAACTTTATAAGCATACCTGCTTCACAGAACCAATAGCAAACACAGACTTTATGTTAATGCATACACCTGATCAGTAGTGGAAACATACTTACCGCAATATGCTTTTTGCTCCCATGCATTTGATGTCATATGAGATAGAGTAGATTTCATAGAAGGTTGCCTTGATGTTTAAGCACCCAATAAAATCCTTAGGGTTCATCTTGTACAGATCAAATGTGATGTTAGCTACTCCCATTTTCTTCTTTTGTCTCACAGCAACAACTCCATTTTTTGTCTAATTTTAAAAGAAGGAGAGAGACAGTTTGTACCATAAGCCAGGAAGCTACAGCAAGACAATAATTAACAGTGCAGCTCCTTAGAAGCAGGTTGCTTATTCCAGCCTTGGGGCTAGTTCTTGGTCAACTCTAAACCAGAATTAAAAGCATTAGCACAAAGGAAAGCAAGCCTGCAGCTTGTGTAATTTTGTTCAAGTCCAAACCAGACTTCTGAAGCTATTCCAAACAGACACAGAAGTTCTAGAGCGATATAGCACCTCCTGACTATTTCTTTTGTGTAGCAGAGCTTCTTCAGAGCATACTGAAGCCACAGGTAATGCCACTGGACAGTGTTCCTGCCATTTATTTATCCTGGTACATTCCAGATGATAGCTGAGGCAGCACAGTTAGTCCACACTGAAAACAGGCCACCAAATAACCAGAATGACATCAGGTCCTTCTGTTTAGGAAAGAACACAGTCCTGATGAGCACTTTTAGAGACAGCTGCAAAGATGACATATGGGAAAAGTCAGGTAGTCATTTCAAATCCTGGTTCATAATACCTCTTTTTCTTCCTGCTAAAAAGAAACACTGTGAAGGAACCACTGCTGATTAGCCTAGGGTTTAATAATGAGTTTTTAAGAGAAAAACCAAAGGAGGAGGACGAGTGTGGAAAGTCATCTTCCACCTTAAATTCGGCCTCCTTTAATGAAGCAGCCCTTGTCTGCTGCAAGGCAGTGTGTTTCAAAAAAGAAAAAAAAACCCAAAAGGAAAATAGTAAGAGAACCCATATTTACAGAGACATCTAGTGGATACACGGGATTCTCCACTCAGCACATTCCGCTCAAGGTTAATGACCTGGCAGCCGCCAAGCTGTTTTTTGCATGCTAAATGAAGCAATAAAGTTGTGTGAAACTGGGCCTTTTTTGTACTTGTCACCCCAGCACTCAGACAGTGACAGGATAAGTCAGACAAAGTTAAACACAGCAGTCTATCATTAGCCAGCAATTTTATGCCTGTTTCACTTTGACAGCTTCTGAATTCCAAAAAAGGGTCCCCTATCAACAACAACTTTGGACAAGTTGCTATGCTTGGTAGCATGTTCCCCTCACCCCTCCCAACTAGCACCCAGAATATTTGGATAAAGCATAACAGAGCTGGTGCTACACTCCAGATAACTTATGAAGCTGTGGCAGCCCTTCTATTGTCACTCAGCACATTCTGAAGAGGAGCTGCATTCAAACTCATGCTGCTGCCATGCCAGACAGGACAGAGGGAAACTGAGCAAGGTGGAGTCCTAACTCTGGCTGCAACTTCTTTTCTGCCCTTGGAGCTCATGGTCCAGGTGCAGTAGGTTGATAAGCCAGTGAGATATCTTAGGGAAAAACATACAGACTACGCACACTACAACAGGATACTGAGACAACAGGGCCACATGATTGAGCCATCCATGTGTAAACAGAAAAATGTCTGCTTACAGCTCCACAGCTAGCTCTGTGCCTGGCAGAAAACATTTTGCTGCCAGCTTTCTAGCAACAGTCATGGAAAGAGAATTAGGGGTTCAATTCTATCTTTCTAATGTACACGACTGTTCCCCCACAAAACCCCTAACTGGATGCTGAATTGATATAAATAGAAGGCTAAAGCTAGCTGATCTTAATAGTTCTTAAAACATCTTCAAACATTTAAGATTAACATTAGGTTTCGATAACAACTTCTAACCATTTGCAAGATTAAACACTGGCACTTTTCTAATCTTCTCTAAACTATTACTGCATTCACAAGGCAAAACTTCCTTTACATTGCTTAATTTGGGCATTTTTTTCTCTAAAAACTAACCTTTAAGAACTTTGTATTTTTTAACTTCATGGAGTCAACGTCCTAATTTTCTTTATGTTACAAAAAGGCTCAAGAACAAAGTTATTTCTGAGGTTCTCTAAAAGCAAGGAATTTCCCCTATAATAAGAATCTTTTTCAGTTGTTAATGTTTTGTTTCAATTCCTGATAGATCTTTGTCAACAGATCTATGTCCAAACAAGGGACAATAAAAAATATGAACTTGGTTTTTCATCCAGGAAGGCTCAACAAGGAGTTGATACCTTGCCTTCTTCAGGGGAAGTTTTCTTCCTCTTCTCCCCTTTTCCAAACAATTTTGGCAGCTGCAAGCATTCGTCCATCCACTTCTACTCAAGTGAGGGAGAAGTCAACAATTACCTGTGTCCATTTCTGTCCTTTTTCTAGAACCATGAAGTGTGTATTATCATCCAGGGAATTGAAGAACTCTTCTGTGTCCACAACTGTGCCATCTTCCTCCAAAACCAGAGTAACTATTCCAGCAGATATAATGAAGGCATCTAAAGTCTGAAGAAAAAAACAGTAGGCTTTAGCATTCTAAAAAGGGCCCATCATTTCATACTAAGACTTGCTAATCTGACATTCTCCCAAACCTCCCCAGTAATGACTTTTAGAAGAACAAGAGTCTGGATTGCCTCTCTGGGATACAGTATTTCACTATAAATTTCAGCCAGAATGGGACTGTTTGCTGTACCTTGCTGATGAGCTCTTTCAGACTGCTTGCAACAATTCCTTTCCGGCTGCTCCGGGAGGCATTGGACACACGGAAAGGTCTCCCTGCAGGCATGAGAGGAGGGAACAGGGTCTGTCTTGTTACTGCTCCTACAGATGCTCCCATGGATACTGCAGATCTAAGACAAAAAAAAATTCAATGTAGTTATAAAAATAGTCATGTCAAGTAGTGCGAGAAGGAGGACTCAAGTGTTGAGTTCACAGATCATGTCAGACTCATGGAGCTTGCTTTCAAAATTAACTACTACACAGCCCTACAGACATGTTCATGTTGCCTCCGAACTTTCTGTCTGGTGACATTTGAAAACACTTTTACAATTAAAACCATTTCAAGCAGATGTGGGCCACCCCTAGCTCAGCTGTCATCAAGGTCACAATTACAGTGCAGCTGATGGGTTTTAATACTCAATTGCAAAGGCAGCAGCTCCTTCTGCATTCAGTCACTTAGATCATTCTCTTTACCCGCAAGATAACACTCGGTGAGATAAATCATTAATTGAAAGTAATCTTGGTGTTAAGACAGGAGTTTGCTTTAGGAAGACTGAGCACATACCTAGTATCAGAAAGCAAGTGAAGCTTTTTGACTTGCAAACGGTCAAAGCATTTATCTTGTAAATTATACCCACAGCTCATAAAACTTCATCCAGTTTTGAAAAAGACAAAGTAAGACTTATTTGTGCCCTAATGTATCAAAAAGAGTCAAGTTAAGATCCAAATACATAAATGCATAGTGTTGGAGCAGGCTGACAGACAGGCTGGAAGAATTCACTTTTAGAGAGTTTTAGATTTTCCAGGGCAGCTGTATGTTTTAATAGTGACTGTTTAGGTTTCCTTTGGTAAACCGAGTGCACAACACTGGTAACTGCCTACTCCCACACTAATGTACAGACCTGCTCTCATCTACATGTAGTGACAGCTTTTTCCCTGCCAAATGACATTGGTTAATTCAATAGGTAGCTTGCCAAAAATCACGCTCTGCATGACACCTGGAAAAGACTGAACCCTTAAGTCTTTTAAAGGGAGACAATACTTTGTTGCTCACATTCCTGGATTTTATTCTTTGTGTATACCTTTTGCTCCTTAATACTGAATTGCTCAGGTGTGGGAAAGGGATGCATCCCCATTTTGTTCTCCTGCATAGGTGTAAAAGGCCAACTTTATGTAGGAAAATCTATTCTCAGACACTTTCATAGAGGGTGAGGGAATGAACTGGCAGCCTCTTCCTTCAGCCAGAGAATGAATACAAGAATTCCAAAAACAACAAAATGGTATAGAGTTACACAACTAATAATGCCCCAGTCACACCTTTTGTGCAAATCCACATTGACCACAGAATCTTTTCCAACTATCTTTTCCAAACATCTTACCTGGTCTTTAAGCATATCTTTGGAATGCATAGAAATTAATTTTTGTGACTAATCAGATAGTTTCGGCAATTAATTTATTTCCTGCTCTCATTCTGAACTGCTCTTCTACAGGACTTTGGGCTATTGCTTGTCCTCTGTACACCAAAGTTTATCTGCCTCAAAAAGTCTTCAGCATTATTAGAGCATTATCTTTTTTTTTAAGGAAAGGAATGTTCAACAGTTTTGTTGCAGCTCATGCTAATACCTTCTTGGTACTGCTGTCTATAAACTAGGTCCCTTGCTTTCAACATTTTGCATACATACACACATGGCTGATGTGTATATATGCAAATATACACACATATACACAAATATAAACTTTCCTTCCTGTAACAAAGCTGATGAGGATGAGCAGTCAGTATGGCTTCCAGGAAATGAGCACTGTGCCAAACTAAAGAGCTAATAAGCACTGTTCCTCCTGGAGGATGGTCACGACCAGGGAGGAGGACAACGTGACAATAGCACTGACAAACAGCATTGACACTCCACAGAAGGGAAGTCTGCTACAACACAACACAGTATGTTTGTCAATCTCTTTACTGACTAAGTCAGTAGTCCTCCAATCACCACACTAGGTCGTGGGCAGCTCACATTCTGAATCACTGAGCCTCTTCCTCAGATAGGAGGCCTGCTCATCTCCATTGGGGCTGATGACTCCACTTCACAGGGCACCCTGATGTTAGAAAGTGCAGCACTAAGGTTTCAAGAGCCAGTTACATCCTGTTCTCTCTCGCACATTTGAAAACTTGCACGTAGAATAGTTGCTTGAGTGAAATATGACAGCACTGCCAATTTCCTTCTTTTTTTGTGTGTGAGAACAATCAACACTAGTCTCATTGAAAAGTTTTCTTTTCCATTACTTGAGCCAAGTTGTCATTCACAAAATACAAAGTGTAAGGGAAACAGACAAAACGCATGGTGATACAGAATGAAAAGCATTAGGGGCATAGCTCACAGGCAGGACTTAAGCTAACAGGGTTCGACTTGGGCATTAGGACAGCCAACTATACAAGCCATACACTTTGAAACTCTGAGCAGAAGTTTCTTGAGGATTCAAGATGAATTACCTCACACTGCTGAGTAGTTCTATCAGATTTTTAAAAATCAGAGAAAAACCAGATTAATAAACCAGGATTTTCATTATCTCCACCAGTCAGTCACTGAACAAAACAAGTTTTAAGAAGTTATTTAACATTGATGACATTTCACCTACATTTTATAAAACCTGTCAGTATCATCTTTAAACTAAGCCTGCCTATGAAGCAGTGAGTCCGGGCTGCAGTGCAGGCTGAGGTTTCAATTAATGTGAAGTACTAGGAGACAAAAGTCAGTATGATTTAAAGAAAGCCAGATAAACTAAGTGTGAACCCTTCCATTTCTGGGCCTTTTGCTGAAAGCTTGTTTGTTTTGTGTGCCACTCTCCTTCCCACACCATAGTCCCAAACAGGCCAAGCTACATTCAGGGCTTCCAGAAAGAGCTCTTCTTCTTGCAGCTGTCCTCAAACTCCAGACAAACCAATTTCTGATGCAGGGGATTCATCTGCTGGACTGCAGTTACCAAAAATAATTCCCTATTAAAAGCTGATCAAGTTAAGTCAGGAAACAAGTGGTGGAAAGGAACACACTAAGGTGGTTGGTTTTATCAGAAAGTTGAGAGACATGCTAAATGCAGACAATTCCACTATTGTTTTCTTATTCTTTGAAGTCAAAAGGATCATGTCCTAGCTCCTACCTAAAGGTGGAGCATTAGGTAGAAGCATAGAGCAATCCTATGTCTGTGGAAAACACAAAAACATTTATAACTGAAAGAGCAAGTCTCTTCAAACTCTAGTATCTTATCCAGTTTGTTTTGGATAACTAACCGGCTAGAGAGGGGCTCACTGATACTGTCACAAGCATTCACTGTAGTGTCAAAGTTGGTGGGTGCAATGAATTCATTGTTTTACGAGAGCCTGGGGATTAAAAGTCTGCCTTGAGCCCTTACACATACTTCACTCTTTATCTTTGTTTGCAATATGCCTCGTATGTTTGTCTAAGAATGTGGTGCAACTGTCTTTGGTCTTACTCAGAAAAATCAACGTTGCACAACTTGAGTGGATTCAGCACATGGCACAATTTGATTTTTAGGTTAAGGTTGACTGAGAAATAACAGCAGAAGTAACAGCAAAACATGAAAAAAAAAAAAAGTCTAAAATTAGCCAGGAGATTTCGGGTTCAACCAGATTGCAGCCGTGGTTCATCTGATAAAACATGAAGCACAGAGGTAGCAGAACCGCAGCTAGCAGCGGATGCATTTTTGAGCAGCGCACAGAACTGTACCTTCATGAACGCGGCGGTCACGCCTGAAAGGCGAGTGGCCAGGGATTGTGGTAATAATATCACCGAGTATAAGCAGCTCGGAGCTGCA